GATCCTGGTGGGAGACTAGCATCCATTAGCCTTTGGCAATCGTAGAATTTGTTTCTCGCCCTTCCTCTACCACCAGCACAGATAGCGCAACAAATGATTTTATTTTGTAAAGAACATTTAAAATCTTTGTGGATATGAAAGGTGAATAAGTTGAAGAAAGATAAAAAAGGTGGCTAATATGGGTTTGAAGTACTTGGCATCTTTTAACACAGTCCCAGAGCGTATGCAAGAGGCAAATGGGTTACACAAATTCCCCCGCCTTGAGAGAAGAACAATCCAGGGATGTGCAATGCCAATCTCATTTGATTAGTATGTCCTAAGTAAAAGTGACACCTGTCAGTAAACGAAGTGCTTGAGGACTAACGGCAGGAGTGAAAATAAGACAGTGGCTGCCCTCTCTTCTCCCTCCGCCATATCTTGCATTCCAACGCAATGACTTGTCCCTTTTTAATTTAATTTTTTTGACAAGTACTGACAGAATATATGCTAAAGGGGTGTTTAGTTGTCAGAAATGAGAAAGTAGCAGTGAAATGAGTCTTGAGTCCACCTAAAGTAAACAGCTTTCACTGTGTCTAGGTACTTCCATTCTACCCAGGGTCCCGTGCTAAAGACTGTCGACTAAAATCCTAAATAAAATGCATTAAAATTCCAAAAGCAATGGAATAATAGCCTCCAGGACCATTCATCCACCTGTCAAACCTCATTGTATTCGCTTCACTACCTTATTGTGTACGTGTCTGTGGAAATTCTCATTTTTCTAGGATTTGAAGTAAAAACTACCACTTCGGATCAAGTTTAGACGCACTGCACAACAACGACACCTCTTTTTTTTTTTAATGTATAAGTCAGTCAACTTTTTTGCCATAGTTTAAAACAGCTACTGCTTGTCAACGACCATGGTTATGTTAAGATGACTGAAATGGAGGCAAGAATTCGTTTGCTCTCCCCCACTCCCCTCCCACAAATTGATTTGACATGTCTAGACAGGTGTGTCAACAATCAGGCATGCACATTGGCGTAAAAAGCAAGTAGATTTTATTGTCGTTCCTAGCATTTGCCTTTTAACTTATAAAAAGGATAAAGAACAATGAAGTTTGTAGTTTGTAAATCACATTTACTGTTCCTCCTCCTGAGTCTTCTCTGCTGCGAATGATTCTGTTGCAAAGGAGGCGCTTTCAAGGATAAAATGGAGGAAGTACTGAGGACTCCAGTAAAAGTGAACTGGGAAGTTGAAAAAATAAAGGTCATTTGGAGGCAAGCCCTGCGATGGTACAACAGAATGAAAGGTGAACACACGCAATTTCAACGCTCAAATGGCTGTTCTGTTGATTGGCACTGGAGAAGACGACCACCACCTCCAGTGGCGACCATCAAATCATATCTACGGCTGCAAGACCATCACATTGCCAAGGGACATGAGGAGCTGAAGGTTTTCGAGAGAAATATGAAAGTGGAAGGGATAAGGAGGAGGAGGAGGAGAAGAGCGGCTGAAGAATTGTGCAAACAGTGTGGACCTCCTTATGCATTGAAACACTGCATGAAAGTGGAAGATAAAAAGTTGTCTCCGCCACTTGCAGAATCCAGGCCTGCTCTCTTTGTGTGGGTCGTAATAGCAACGCAGAAAAGGAGGATGTTGTGGTGCTTTATGGATAATTGTAATGGCGGTGTGTCCAAGGCACCTGCTGCCACGCCATGCACCACCTCACAGATTGCCTTCATCTTTGCACGACCTCGCCATCAATGTGGCATTGTTTCCTCTGTGTGTGCTGGGTGATTGATGAGTCGGTGAGTCGTGTGGTGGGAGGTGGGGTGAGGTGTGGTGTGGTGTGGTGTGGTGAATGGAGGATGGAGCCCCGTCCGTTGCATTGCCCACCTGCTAAAAGTACACATCAGCCAAACGGCAGACCTCGGCAAATGTCCGCCTTGTCTAGCACGGCATGAGGACGCGTGACCAATCCGTGGCAATGTGTCACACACCACCCACCACGAGATCTGCGGTGTGGGGAGGGAGAAGAAGAAGAAGAAGGATGGAATGGGAATCACTCCTCCTTCCTACCACTACCTCCACAATTCCTCTGAGTAGTCACCACTTTGCCTCAACATCGAGCGATCTGGCGTGTCAAATTGAGTGGGGCTTTGGTAAAACGATGCCACAGGCGGCGAAATTGGGTCTGCCATCTTCTTTTATCCAGTGGTGCAATGCTGTTGCAGAAGTGGGCAGAACACGTGAATATGTCGGCCTTCCAAGTGTCCTCGGTCGGTGGCCTCGATTGGCCGTGCGTCGTTAGGCTTGTGGTGGCGTTGTCGGTTGGATGGATTGTCTCCACCTTGTTCAATTTCCTCTCCTCCCTTCCTCCCTCCCTCCATGTCACTCACCAGACCGATGAATAATCGTGGTGTGGATCTTTTCAAGACTTTTTCATTGCTTCCTTGCGGTTGTATCACTGAGTCACCAGAGATTCATTCCTCCTGTCATTCCTCTCTGGCATTTGTTCGCTGACAAGTGGTGACGTGACCTAAGTGGGGAGAATCCGACAACATTTTTTGTCCATTTTGATGGACGAGTTGCATTGTATAACTCCAATCGCGCCTTTGACATTTCACTCATAAAAGCATCCTATTCTCAGCCTCGTATCGCTCTCTCTGATCCGTTTAGAATATCCCAATCCTATCCCCTTTCCACAAATATAACTTCTACCTGTATAATCTTCACTGCCAATTTTGTTAACTACAAATTCTCCATCCATTAAAAGTACCTTTTGTTTCAAACTACTATTTTATTACATTTCTTTTCCATAGTTTTAATTTCATGTCATTTTAATGCAGCTGTGGTGCCTCTTTGAGTTGATGGCTAATTAATATCTTCCTGTCTCCTTTGGCATTGTCATGACCCATCATGACATTTTAAATATCGGGCTTTTGTTGATAGTAGGAAGTTCTGTAATGCAATTGGTGCCATTTTTAGCTCACATTTTCAGGCATCATCTCATAAAATGCCATTCCATGGCTGCAAAGTGGACATTTTTATATTTTTTCATTGGATGATGGCAAAAAATAAGTGACACTTGGTGTTCTCGTGTAGACAGACGGATCTTCCAGCAAAATTCGGATACTGAGGGCCTCGAGGAATGTTGTATCACTTTTGGCATTTAAAATCCCTCTTCTGGATAATGCTTTGCTGTATAGCTTCCTGGTTTGGCGCGTTGGGAGCAACCCTTGACGCCAATTATTTGAAAATTGACGAGAAGGCGAAGGAAAATGCCAAGGTGGATGTCGATCACGCATCTGTCAGGTCTTCCTACCTGACTTATTTGATCTGTAATACAAAATGACATCCGTCCTATGTAAGGGGGAGCATTAGTGCCTTCTGCCATCGTCCAAAGGGCTACAAGTTAACTTTATTACTAAACCAATCTATAAGTTTGGGCTTACAATGATTTGACATTTTTGCCAAAGGTGAAATTGCTGACAATGATCACCCCTTCATAACATTAACATTCGGCAATCCTATTTACAAGTGCATGGCGATTGCAAATGTCATTCCAAAAGAGAAATTTGACCGATTTTAGCGTCCCAAGACTTCTGGAGAAAGCAAAGTCTGAGCTTGACTTGAAGACCAACTCATTCGTACAAGATTCGGACAAAATTTTGAAGTCACCACCGCACATCAATTGATGACACAAACAAAGTATTACACTGATCACCTAACATCTTGTTTGTATCACCTAGTAAAATTGTATTGCATAGTCAACAAACTATTTTTTGGCAAACTTTTAAAAGTGAAAGGAAAGTTTTACTGTGCTCTCTGTGCCACTGATTGTGATTATGATATAAATTTATGGCTACTTTGAGTGCTTGGCTTTTTCTGCAGAGGTAAATCAGTAGGCAAAGCTAATCACTGTCAAAGGATTTGAATCTAAACCAAAATATGTGCATTTGGTGTTCACTAGTAAGGCTATTTAGTTTTAAAATTTTTGTTATGTGTTATACTACTATTTAACATTACAAGTAGTAATAAAGCAGTCCAAATTTAACTTTTATCAAAATCTTGATGCTTGCATAGTTCAAAATGCGATAATATCAAGTTGCTACCTTAAAATTTATTTACTTGTTAGTTTTTACAAAAAAAGACGCAATTGTTTTTGTGTTTGAGGAGGTTAAAATTACCCACCTAACGCTTCACCTCTTCTCATTCAATCTAAAGAGAGAAAAACAACTTAGGCATACATTAGCAAGACTTAAATTAACCCCTAAAAGAGCTAAAAGAAAGTTATATGTTAATTATCAAACGCATAGAAAATTATTGCGAGTTTTGATGATGTGGACAAAGAACAAGGCGAGTCAGACATGAGAGCGCAGCTTTAACAGTGTTTTCAAACAATCTCTAACAACGACTGAGCCAAATCACGTCTTAAACACCCCAAGATTGTACTACATCCTTTGGTATGACGCGAGTTTTCCATCCACATGTTCAAGCTTTGAGATTGCAGGAATGTACACAGAAGAAAGCGGAGTTAGCACTTTGTTAAAGGGCGTCCAGGCAACGAATGTGGGTTTTGGTAATTGAAGAAGTGGATCTCAATTATTTGGTGTGAAAAGGTGTTTCAATACTATATCCGTTTCATACAAGGATGCATTAAGTTAAATTATCCCTTTTTACTCGAGGCAAAATAAATTCAGCTTGTGCCTACTCTCGAGGCAGTACCTTCACAGCCATGGTGATTGTGTTTGTTCACCTGCATTCTATTTTAGTTTTTAATAATAAAGAGCCTTACTGATAGGGACTGGAGGCTTTGGGTCAGAATGTCATGTCACCTAATTCTGACGCCATTACCGAAAATTGAAGAAATTAGTGAATAAAATCGTACCATTAGAAAATCAGTATCGCCACTCCTTGACTTTGAAGTGCTAACATAACTGGAAGTGGTGGTGCAAACGGACTTTACACTACAAACAACAGTGGACACGCATTGACACTCCTCGGTGGACTCTGCTCTCATTTAAGCCTTCACATTGCATGCGCCCTCTCCACCACCAGCATCACCATCCTGTTGCAACGCCCACAGACAGAGGCCGTTGGGAGATGGCAAGGGGATGCAAGCTGAAGTGAGTGGCAAAGGCAGAAGCAGAAGACGGTGGTGGAGGTGAGAAGTAGGAGGTTGGGAGTGGACACATCCAGCATTGTGGACGGTAAGGATTGAGGTGCATACACGAATGGGATTAGAGGAGAAGCACAAATGAAGGTGGCGAAGAAGACGAAATAACAATTGTGAGACAAAGGGAGTGGTAAAATTGAGAGGAATGAAAGGGTGGAATGGGTTAATGGTACTGGGGGAAGTGAGAGTGGATAGTTGAGTGCGATGAAATGAGGACGTGGAGGAATAAGCATCGAAGCTGCGTGGTGTGGGAGTGGCTCTAACTCTTCCATCGCAATAATCACCAAGAGAAAGGCATGATGACATAGAAATGATGCTGAAGGGAAGGATAATTGCATGCTGCTGATGGGTAGGGAGGATTAGCGTGTCTTCTAATGCATGCCGTGTCACACGCAGCGTCACCGCTCTCCCGACTGACAGTGCACGTGAAGACTGCGAGAATGGCGAAAATGTCGTCTGCCAATGAAGGCGAGACAGGATGACAACATGCGGTATATGAACTGGATAAAAATGGAGATAAAAGCAAGAGGGAAAAAAAAAGAAAACTAGGGAAAGCAATAAGGTTTATGCAATTGAATTTGCATGATTTGGAAAATGGAGGAGAGTGAAAATTGGGACGATGGTAGACGAGTGAGATGATAGAGGGAAGAAGTGAAAGTATGCAGTATTTAAACTGCGTTGCAAGTAATGCTAGTAGTGATCGGCGATTCTGTTTCTTCAATGGGCACATTGAAGAGGCAAAAGAGACATACAGGCATTGAAATAAATCTTAAGCGGCAATACAGTGGAGAAGGAGCAGATCAGCAACAAACACATTGTCGATGGAGGAAAGTATTGCACAAAGAAGGCAAATAATGGGGATGTATACGACCAAATCATTGCGTGAACTTGACAAGTAAGGCAACGCAGATGGAGTGGGTGCAAGTGGTAGTGTTTGAGGGGATTACCGTGTACACCTGCATCGATGGTCGGTGTGGCCGCTGAGTTGGGTTTAGCAAAGAGGAGAAGGAGGAGGAGGATGTTACGAAACGCTCTCTCTGTTGAATGTTGAACATCTTGACTGACTACAAGGGTCATGTTTATTAAAGTTGACAATCGGTTTGATCGAAATACCTAAAAAGTGGTCCCCTAGGTGACGTTTGTAAATTTGCTAGGAGTGAGGAATGAGGGCAGTGAGGCTGATTAAGCAACCCTGCAGATGGTAGCCACCCTCCATCCACTCTTCGCCATTTTGCATCTCATCCTCTTATTAGTGTGAAGGATGCATGCTGCAACTTCGTGAGGTGCGTATGAAAACGAAGTACAGCCTTTGTCTTCGGCAGGTTGGAGGAGTGAAGTATGGGAAAGGGGGCGCTTAAGAGCAGTCAGGAGGGATGAGTGCGTGGAATGGAGGAGGAAATAGGGCAAAAACGTGGGAATGAAGGAGGATGGGAGAAAAGAAGGATGCTAATTAAAGTCCCGCCTTGATAATCTCCTCTACTGCCTCCTTATCGTAGTGCGTTCGCATTGTAAGACAAAAGTATATGCGGTGAAGGTGTAAATCGTGTGGCTTGGGTGACGAAGGCGGTGAGACAGGCGGCAGACTTATCGCAGCAGGGCTAAAAATAGTCAGTGTTTGGGATGGCGTATGGATTATTTGCCTACCAAGTCAGCCATTAGAGCTAAGGTCAAATTGGTGTCTTATGAGACCAATGGAAGAGCCAATGGAGGTCCATTTTGAACCTCTTCCCTTAGTCTCATTGTCCACCTGACTAGCATCACTGCCATGTCAAGTGACACCTGTGTCAGCTGTGACAAAAGCAGACGAATTTGTCAAGTCATCCAGAGGGCAGTCAGTTGAAATGGCGCATTAAAGTTGGCAATGGCGCAAATCATAGCTAACTTAGATTAAATAGTTTCTGACTCCGAAACAAAGTGTACAGTACAGGCGGTCGATGAAGTCACACGCGTAGACGAATCTGACTGCAATCTGTCGGCAGCTTAAACGTCAAATCTGTCAAACCAGCTCAAGTCAACTGAAGTTAAGTCAATAGTTGTCAGTGGTGTTGACGTACGAGAGACATGGAACAAGGGTGGCAGCGCACTCACGCTTGTCACTGTCAGATGAGGGAGTGAGTGTATGTGGGTGAGTGGGTGGCTGCTGGGACCTTACAGCCACGCAGAGTAGGAGCAGATTATGCCGAAAAGTTCGTCATACTGGAGTGGATGCAAAGGGATGTGAGTTAATGCAGTGCATTTCGGTGCAAAGCGAGGAGGAAACAGGCAATCAAAGCACCAATACTCAGGAGAGACACGCAGTAGATATTAGCAAAGCAAATTGGCAGGATAGGGAGAAAATGGTGTCACTTTTCCTGACGGTTGTCAATACTACTTAAATCCAAATGTCCGTCCAAAGCTAATTGACTGAGATTATTAATTTGCTAATGTGTATGCCTTTAAGGAATTCCCTTGGGACAAGAGTACACTACTCATTAGATGCTCCATGAAGTTCTACATCCCCTAAGTTATTTCTCCATTCACTCAATCAGTCTCAATGAGCACTGCGACCGCACAAACACTCCAAACTCCAGCCAAAGCAAACAGACTAAAGACACCACCACCACCACCACCACCACCACCACCACCACCACCACCACCACC